CCCCTGTCTGTTTACTGCCTCTGCGGGAAGGCGCCCCTTACCTCCCTGCCCCAGTTCAGAACAGCCCCCAGAATACACTCCTGCTCCCTTTGTCACATACAGTACCCCCTAAAGTATGCCCCCGCAGAGCCAAAAATCCCCCTTCCCTCTTGGCCCACCCCCTCCAAGCGGAACAGCCCTCGCAACACTCACCTTGCTGACACCAGCACCCCTTGTTCTCTCTCCCCTACCGCCATAGCTGATCCGACCCAAAATCAGCGTGGCCCAGAAAAGGACAAACCCTCAATACCGCCCCTACCCTTCCAAAGATCACACCGCCCACCTTGTGTAACCCTAGCAGGGAGGGACTCCAACCCTAAAGAGGATATTCCATTCCACCTTTATGACCCCCAAACCCACGACATCACTAACTGAGCCTCAATTCCTAAGAGCGAAAGTTCAGCTCAATTTACAGATTATGACATCAAGACTTGGGCCCTAGGCAAAAACATCAGGAAATGAAAAAAGAAAATTAGGCATCTTTCTTCAGCAATCATCAACCTGAAATTTCCTATCCCCTCGGAAAATCCAGTCTCCGTCCTTGAAGAGGCGAATCATCGTTGCCCAACGCCAATCACAGTAGGGCTACTCCTCAGCCGGTACCCATCAAACAGCCTAAACTGCCCAACGCCAATTGCATCTAATTAGAAATCCCCCCAGCTCTCACGCTAGGGTTACTCCTCAGCCGGTACCCATCAAACAGCCTAAACTGCCCAACGCCGATAGCATCTGATGAGAAATCCCCCCAGCCGGTACCCGTCAAGCAACTCTGCTCCATCCCCCTCTTCGTCCTTGCAAAAGATCATGACGTGCCCCCTGTCCCCAACCTTTTTTTTTTTTTTTTTTTTTTTTTGACTGAACCCTCCAATGCCAGCGGTGCTGTTAGAACAGACATCGCTAGCACCCTTGGGGAGGCTCCATCTATTGGTGGGGAGCATCACCTGCTGGAAAACGGGTCCAGCGTCCCTTACATAGTGGATACAACATGGTAAAAAAGAAAACTGAATGGTGTCTGGAGGGAACCTGCCAGCATTGATTGCTCTGGAGACCAGAGGATTGACTGAGCAGGTGTGAAAGTGGAAGCAAGATGGTCGCCATCACCCTCTCCAACCCTGTACCTAGTCAGGGAGCCGGGAGGAGCCACTGGGGGGCACCAGTGGGGACTCCATCGTCTTCCCTGCCCATCTCCCATAAAAGACCGCCCCTCGACCCTCT